AACGCAACACCAAGGCCCAAAATCATAAACGTTTGGAACAGGACAGGAATTCATATTAAATGTGTGGGAAAGGCACACAAAAAAAAAAACTTTTCTCCGGCTACAGTTCCTCTGAGCTCCACCAGGTGGTGATCTCACTTATACCAGGACAGGAAGTCTATGGAAAACAGACAGGAAGTGATGTCGCATATAAATAGGAAGTTTAGGGTGAGTTGGGAAGAAGTAGAGAGGAGACATTGCTGGAACTGGCAGCAGAGGAGGTAATAACAAGTGATGTGTGTATATGTACGTATGTATGTGGACCCCATTGAGGGAATTTTTATCTTTAGAAGTTTCCTTTTTTGGGGGGAAATACCTTTAAACTTTTGTACACATCCTACACATTCTTTGGTGGGACATTTATTCGGAAGATGACAACATACAGAATCCGTATATTTGGTTTGAGGATTTAATTAGGGGAAAAATTTACAAAAATTTTCACAATTGTAATTGCGACACAATTTTTACAACGACGGATATTGACCCCAAACATCGGCAAAACCTCCTGGTTCTTAGGTGGGGAAAAGGTCCAACCCAATGTTCACCTTTCCCTATGAGAGAGGCGTCCTCCCTTCTTCATGACATGACAGGTTCTCACGTGTCCAGGACGTGGTGTAGATAGTGGTAGTCTGTCACGTTTATCTGGACTTCTCTTGCAAATGTTGGTTGTCCAAGATCAACGACCACGATGGGAGGGGTCAAGACGATCTCAAGACGTAGTCCAACTTTCACGGAGCCACAATGAACGAGAGGACAACCGGATCACTAGAGGTGTGAAGGAGGCCATCTACTTCAAGCTGGAACATCATCCCTGGACAGTGGTGGAGGTCTTCTACTCACTCCATCTGTCATCCACATGTAATGCTGTTCTACCATCACCACCCACCGGGAGAAGTCAACAATTCACACCTTCAGCCACGTAACTCGGACAACTAACACATGACCAGGACTTTACGGCACCAAGGGATGGAGATTATGTAAATAGAACAGGGTGACTTCACAAGCTCTCATCTTGAGTTACCCTATTGGATAGAAGTCCTGGGGGTATGTTCTCCGAATGGCAAGGGAGGAGCTAAATACTGGGGGTATGTTGCCAGTGTAGGGATGTATAAATATATATTTGGGTATGTTCCCGGTATAACGAAGAAATAAAATTTGGGGTGTGTTACCAATTTTAAGCTTGTCATCCATCTACAGAGAGGAACGTTGGGTATAGATCGCATGACCACCTCAAGGAGGATGGAGGAGGACCGGAGTCACATGACCGAGAGGATACTAAACCTCACCCTGGAGATCATCTACCTGCTGACCGGAGAGGTGAGGAGGGTTCTGGGAGGTCACATGACATCACTCTGATCTCTATTCATAACACACAGACCTGACCAGAGGGGTGAGGAGGATTCTGGGAGGTCACATGACATCACTCTTTCTGTGCAGAGTTTTCTTCCTTCGAAGGATGAGGACCAACTAACCTTCACCGTGCCTCCACCTCGCTCCTTGATGCTTAAGAGAGACATTGAGAAGAAGATTCTGGAAGTCACCAAGAAGATGATGGAGCTGCTGACAGGAGAGGTGAGCCCGGTCCAGGAACAGACAAGGGGCGTGTCTGGGTGGTGACGGGAGGGGTGAGCGGTGCCGGGGATTCTGGGACATGATCCAGGAACAGACAAGGGGTGTGTCTGGGTGGTGACGGGAGAGGTGAGCGGTGCCGGGGATTCTGGGACATGATCCAGGAACAGACAAGGGGCGTGTCTGGGTGGTGACGGTATCATTGTGTGTGTCAGGTTCCTATAAGGTGTCAGGATGTCTCTGTCTATCTCTCCATGGAGGAGTGGGAGTATCTAGAAGGACACCGGGATCTCTACAAGGACGTGGTGATGGAGAATGCCCCGCCCCTCACATCACCGGGTAAGAGGAGAGAGCAGTACGGAGGCTCCGCCTACATCCCCCATCATCTGATACACACATAGAAACAATGTATTCAGTCAGTGTGTGTGTTTCCTACAGATGGATCCAGTAAGAGGAACCCACCAGAGAGATGTCCCCGTCCTCTGTATTCCCGGGATTCGGCACAGGAAGACCACACCTATGCGCACCATTATGAGGTCAACGTCTTGGTCAAAAAAAAAATTGACTCGCCGCTTTCATTTTTCACGTTTACAGATGTTTTTTTCCATCATTTTGTGGGTTTAGGGTGAAGAACAGTTTATTATTAAAGTTGAGGTCAAAGAGGAAGAAGAGCAGAATGTGGGGGGTGATCAGCAGCCAACAGAGAAGGATACGGTGGAGGTGACAATTAAAGAGGAGGACACTCCTACTGAAGCCTTCTCAGGTGGGTAATGAACACGGACCACATTGATGATGTATATGGATTGGTTATTGGTTCAGTTGATTGGCATTGAATGATAGTGGAGCACCCAAGAGGACCACATGACCAGTTTAGAAGGCCACTGTAGGAGAAGGCCGACTTGGTCATAGGGTCTGTTGGGTCTAAGTTGGCCTGAGTCAACCTTTCATCTCCGATGATATCTTTTATATCATTTCTTCCAGACGAAAGCCTCAAGGTGTCCTCAGAAGATCAACAAAACTCATCTCCAAAGACTCAAACCAGAAGTGAAGGTGATACACAAGATCCACAGAGGGACAACCTTGCGGCCAGATCACCAGATCCCTCTAATGCCGAGGAATCCAACGCTGGATACGAAGAGGATCATTTATACTCCTGTCCCGACTGCGGGAAATGGTTTTGTCTGAAATCGCGTCTTAACGCCCATATGAGATACCATATGGCGGAGAAGCCCTACCCGTGCTCCGTGTGCGGGAAGGGCTATTTATCGAAAGCTCAGTTGGTTGACCACCAGAGAGTTCACACCGGAGAGAAACCTTTCTCTTGCTCTGAGTGCGGAAAGAGTTTCTCCTTTAAAGGCAACCTGGTGGAACATCAGAGACGTCACTTAGGGGAGTCCCATACTTGTTCTGTGTGCGGGAAAAGTTTTTTACTGAGGACTTATCTTGTCAGGCACCTAAGATTTCACACGGGCGAGAAGCTCCATCCCTGCTCCGAGTGTGGGAAAAGTTTTGTGCGTAAGTCGGAACTGGTTGTGCATCAGAGATACCACACGGGGGAGAAGCCGTATTCCTGTCCGGAGTGCGGGAAAGGTTTTGTACGCAAGTGTCACCTCGGGGTGCATCTGAGATTTCACACGGGAGATAAGCCATTTGCGTGCCCTCAGTGCGGGAAAAGCTTTGCACGCAAATCGGACCTTGCTGCACATGAGAAGACTCACAAAGTGGAGAAGCCGGTTTCCTGCCTTGTGTGCGGGAAGTTTTTTGCAAGGAAAGTCATGCTTGCCAGGCATCGGAGGACACACATGGCTAAAAACACATAAATGACACCATCATGTAGGCCTGGGAAGTCCACACGGGTGATTGGGCCTTGTTGTGGGATATGAGAAACTCTTCTTAAGAACGGTAAAGCTCAAAAAACAAGAAGGAAATATCAAAGCTGCCTCTCCTGACCTCACTAATTGCCGGGCCGTTATGTCAACCTGATAAGTCCCTCCCTTGTTGTCTCTTGCCTGGACTATTGCAACTACTTCCTTGTTGGCCTACACAGACCATCCCCCCCTCCAGTGTGTCATGAATGATTCTACCAGACTTCTCCACCTCACCAACTGCTTAGTAGCTGCCACCCCCCTCTGCCAATCCCTCCACTGGGTTGCATCCCATGCCCCCCTCTGCCAATCCCTCCACTGGCTTCCAATAGCCCAAAATGATAAAATTGAAAATATTAACAATGACTTACAAAACCATTCACAACTCCGCCCCCGGCTATATCTCCAACCTGGTCTCAAAGTATTACCCTAACCGTCCCCTCCGCTCTTCCAAAGACCTTCTGCTTTCCAGCTCCCTCGTCAACTCCTCCCATGCTCGCCTCCAGGACTTCTCTAGTGTCTCTCCCATCCTCTGCAATTCTTTAGCCCAACCTCTCCATCTATCTCCCATTCTGACTGCCTTTCAGGCGATCCCTTAAGACTCATCTCTTCAGGGAAGCCTATCCCACCTCAACCTGACCATTCAACCATCACGTTCTCAAACAATTCATCCCCACACAGCTACCTCCTCATGTATGACTTGCCCCTCCCTTTTAGATTGTAAGCCCTCATGGGCACGGCCCTCCTTACCATCTTGTCTTGAATTGTATTGTGATTGTAATGTCTTCCTTATATTGTACAGCGCTGCGCAAACTGTTGGCGCTATATAAATCCTGTAT